AGCACTGAAATAATGAAAGTTCAGCACATTCACTCATCCGATTGTTTGAAACAATAGGCTCTTTGATACAAGGCATCGTCTCTAGTATGTTGTCAACCTTATCTTTAAAAAATTGAGCAAAATCATCAAAATTTAACTCATCTGACATATTAAGCGAATCAACAGAATTCATCTTGCATAAAACCCTGTTAATTGTCATCTAGAGTTTCTTTGGATTGGAACATTTATTCAATCATATTTCACCAGTAGGCTTTCCTTTTTTCTGAGAGCAATGACTGTTTCTTCAACATAGCATCAACGAACCTTTTCTTGCTAACATCCCCAGGATTAAGTCGATAAGCTCTTTCAAGTCTTCTGCAGCGTAGCTTAGTCTGCCTACACTCTTCATCGAACCAAGGCGAAGCAGCATTATTTCTAGTCATCACATAGTGTTTCGGTGCAACAATATCTATAATATTTTTAACTTCTTTTTTGTAAAGATCAAATAAGTATTCAGGATCATCTGATTTAAAAGGTCCATTAATAGGTGAGTTTATTATTAACGCGGCAAATTTATCAAAATCCACACGATTCCATGAACGAACCAGTCTTTTTTTTCTAACAAAATAATTTAGCGGAATCGAAAAACATACTTGGACCAGACCATGATTGGAATAAATACCATATGAACCTACGGTACATGAGGACACAGGCAATTCCATTGAGGATACCACTAGATCCAAGATACCACCACGTACATGGGTAGTTTCCTTAACTCTATTTTCAAGGTTAAATGCATGAAAAACATCTACCAACCGGATTGAATGAGGATCTCCAACCTTTTCCAAATGAACATTCAAATCCCCCGTAAGAATGACATAGTCCGCCAATAACGAAATCTGCTCCAAGAGTGATGTAAGCTCATCAAAAAATGCAGGAGTAATTGGTACAGAACCCGGTCGATAAACTGCCAAAAACAGAATCGTTTTTTTACCGCACCGAAATTTAATAGCAAGTGATTCAAAGAAATTTACTACTGGTAATTCTAATTTTTTAACCTTGAAAACATTCTTAAAATATACAATTATTCCTCCTTGATTAGGGTCGTGTGGGCGCAAATAATCCATAAATGAGAAGCCATAAGGCATAGCCAATTTCACAAAAATATCATCAGATGATCCATGCCAAGTTTCGGTCAGTACACATATATCTAAATCATTTGATAACAAATCATGAATTATATCATATTTTGACCGAATGGATCTAATATTAAGCAATCCCAAATTTAATCCGGTTTGGTAGCAGGCCTTGGATATCTCACTATTCTCCATTGCCCGACCACACCTCTGACCCGATATAAAAAATGACCATCTTTAGATTCCCGCGTTTTTGCCTCAAGAACCAATTTTTTAAGCTGGTCCGTCCGTTGTAAGGTCATCACTAATCCTCACTTCCCTCATTTTTTCATCCAGCAGCGCTAATCTGAACAATCTTCTCATAACCAGGACTTTTGCAGAAAGGTTGATAAACATAACAATCACTAGACGCGGAGGAGACGATACGCTTGGCTTTTTACCTTGTCTGAATATTTTCAATATGTCCTCATCTTTCAGAGACTCGTCTGTTAGGGACCTTAAAAAGCCAAGAACATTACCCCTATCTTTAGCAACATCCAAG